CGATGCATAACGAAAGGGCACAAGTCTCCTTTCAGTCCTAGCGAGGACGGGAACCTCGCGAAACATCATGCAAAAGTGCAGGTGGATGGCCACACTGTCGAAGCGCTAATCGACACCGGAGCCAATATAGTAGTGATTAAAGAAGCCTTAGCCACAAGACTGCGTCTGGAGCCAGCAGTCAGGCACCACTATCAGGCGTAACCGGACGCATTACGACCAACGTAACAGTAGTCACCGTCGCCCACAGAGGCAAGAACCTCCAGCGGGAAGCCTTCTGGGCCCCAATGCCTGGAGGAGGAGACCTCCTAATACCACCCGGCGTAACCACAGAGCTAGGGATAGGCGGAGAAAACACAGCCTACAACTCAGTAAGTTTAGTCGACGAGAGCAAAACAGATGCAGAACTGGTCGTAGACGCCAGGAAGTTGGTCAAAGGCATGTGCACCCACCTAGACGAGGCAACGTTCACACGCCTATGGGACACACTGGCCAAGCACAGTAAATGCTGACTCAGACCCAGAATAGACCAAGGCACGATTCAGAGTCGAAGGCAAACCCCACAAAGCCCGTCTCAAGCCAATAAGGCCAGAGCTACAAAGCGAACTGGACCGGCAGGTAGACGACATGCTTGGTATGGGAGTAATAGCCCCGTTGGAATCGCCTTGGGGAGAAAAACCAGTCCTCGGGGAGAAAAACCAGTCCTCGTGAAGAAGAAGACACGGGGGTGGAGAGTCTGCATAGACTACAGAGAAGTCAACAAATGCATGACCCTAGACGCATACCCAATCCCCAACTTGTGGGAACAGGTGCAGCAGGCCGCAGGACATAAGCACTACATATGTCTAGACTGTAACCAAGGGTCCAGACACATGTAGTGCTTATGTCCTGCGGCCTGCTGTACCTGTTCCCACAACGTGCCCTTGGAGGAGGAGAGTCAGCCTTTGGAACGCGGCTTCTGTCCAATAGTCCTTCAGCGATTCTCTTGCCGTTGGCGGTGATTTCGAACTCGGTAGCTGTTAGGTCGAACACTCCTTCCACTGTCATTAAGGCCAAACCCATCATTCGCAGAGGCATGTCAGGCTTCTGTGAGTGCTTAACCACTCGAGCACCCTCCCTAGATCCGGATGTGCGCCAGCCAAAATGAACATATTTTCATCTACCCTGTCAATCAGATTGGCCCACTTGTGGCCCGCCATGGCCTTAGGCCCGCCATGGCCTTAGGCCCGCCATGGCCTTAATCATGCGGA